GAGCTTGCGATGACCGTGCGGTCGACGGATAGTGCCATCGATCACATACGAGGGGATCTCATGGGCGAAAACGATCGAAGAATAACCCAACCACATAGGCTGCCACAGGGTTTGGGCCACCGAGTGGGGGCCTTGCGAGACGCGGAACGCTGCTCGCTGGAACGACGCCCCCGCCCCCCCCCCTCCCCCCGCGAACGAACCAGCGCGCGCGGGGGAGTTCCGTGGCGCGCCAGCCAGCTGCGCGAGCAGCTCCGCGCGGGCAACCTTTTGCTTTTCATTATTGCGCAGATTCTGGCCGAGCACGTTCGCGCTGGCACATGTGGATGGATAGAGCACCCATCGCCAGCACCATGGAGACCGCAGACGCCGCCAAGCGTCCAGTGGACGCCCCTCAGAGCCCTAGAATGTTGCCCCAGTGTCAGCACGATTACGCTGGACCAATGCACGCGTCAAGTTGGTGACCCCAGCCCCCGCAGCAAAGCTTCGACTCGCATCCTCGCCGCCCGGCCCCCAACAACGCACGGCCTCTTGAAGGCCACCAAAAACGGCCTCTGCAACCACGGTAAGGGAGCGCACTCTATTTTGCTAGGAAAGCGAGAGGACGGAACTTTCAGGGCCATCACTAAAAATACATACCCTGAGTCAAAGTGCAGAGCCATCGCGCAGGCCATGTTCGGCGGATTGCAAGCAGCGCATTACCACTCTGAAGCGGGCGACCCTTCCAGCACACAGAATGAAACAGATGATGAAGCTGCTATCCTACAGCGTTAGGCGCCGCGGTCCGACTGCGATGCCTTTTGGGAAGCCCCCCGCCTGCCCCGCTCGAATGGGACAAAAATGTAAGTCAGACTCTGAGAGGTGGGGGCGGGCCCCGCCCACCCCCCTGGGCCAGGTTAGTACCGGGGCGGGGGGCCGCATGGGAAGACCTTCGGGCGCTGTCAGCTCTGCCACTGGCCAGGGTCGCAGGGCGCACTTGCCTTGCGCAACCTTGACGCGTACGGCAGGAAGGCGCTAAACACAGTGGACAGAACCAGGCGTGTGCAGGCGTCGCATATGTCACCCCCTCTTCCCTCCTCCCCCGGCCCTGCCCTTGGCCCCCCAGGTCCCCGCGAGGTTCCCCGCCGAGGCCCCCGAGGATCCGCCGCCGCCCGCCGAGGAATCCCTCGACGCGGGCGACGAAGCGGCCGGGCTCGCGGGCATCGGAGTTTGTCCCGAGGGCGCGTTCGCCCTATCAGCATCGGCCCAATGTCTCCGAAAAGACTCGGCCGTGCGAGAGGGGGCCCACCGCCCCCCCACCTCTCAGATGAGCGCCTTCTCGCGGGCGCCGAACTCGCCCTTCCAGAAGAACAGCTGAGACAGAATTCGCAGGAATCGAGCAAAGGCCCGAGCAAGAGAGAGAGAGAGAGAGAGAGAGAGAGAGAGAGAGAGAGAGAGAGAGAGAAAAAAAAAAAAAAAAAAAAAAAAAAAAAAAAAAAAAAAAAGAGAGAGAAAGAGAGAAGCCGCAGACGCGTTGCTCCTTGGCATATCGAAGCCATCCTGCGGCCAGGACAAACTCACAATTTTGAGGTTTGCTGTGCGTCGCTGGGGTTGATTGGCCCCGTGGGGCCCAAACAGCTGCCCAGAAGCAGAGAGCACGACCCAGCGTCATAAGCCAGCGCCCACCGCCGCCTCTCCCCCCCCTCCTACCACCTATCCTGATCCCGCGCCATATCCCTCCCCAACCGCCCCTCCTCCTCCTCCGTCCCCTCCTGCTCTTCCGCAGCAGCAGCAGAAACAGCAGCAACCATCATCACAATCATCATCATCACCACCACCACCACCATCATCATCATCATCGTCGTCGTCGTCATCATCACCATCGTCATCAACGACTTCACTATCACCATCACCAACACCATCAGCATCACCATCACCATCACCATCACAATCATCATCATCAACATCATCATCATCATCCGCGCCATCATCAGCATCATCAGCAGCAGCATCAGCATCTGCATCAACATCATCAGCAGCAGCATCCTCATCACCACTAGCATCATAATCATCATCAACATCACCATCATCTTCATCATCATAATCGTCATAATCATAATCCTCATCATCACCACCGTCGTCATTACCGGCATCAACATCACCATCATCATCATCAGCGCCATCGTCACCCTTATCGTCATCATCATCACCCTTACAATCGTCATCGCCATCATCATCGTCATCATCATCGCCATAAGATCATCATAATCAACGCCACCACCACCATCAGCACGATCATCAGCAGCATCCTCATCATCATCAGCAGCATCAACATCATCCTCAGATTCGCCATCATCATCATCATAAGAATCGTCATCACCATTGTCATCACCATCGTCATCATCATCAGCAGCAGCATCATCAACAGCATCATCGTCATCAGCGTCGTCACCCCCATCATCGTCATCATCGACAGCAGCATCATCCTTATCGTCAGCATCATCATCATCACCAGAACGGTCGCCATCAGCATCAGCATCATTGCGAACATCATCATCATCATCAAACTGATCATCAGCATCATCGCCATCATCCTAATCATCATTCACCACCATCACCACCACCACCGCCCTCGTCCTCGTTTCGATCAGATGAAATCAATAAACGTGTTTATTGAGTGTCGTGGAGCGGGGAATGTGATATCCTTCTCATCCCTCGCCGGATGCACACGGCGGTGGCCTCTCGCGCCACAAGCTCAAGGGCCCTCTGGGGCCAAAACCGCGTCGGGGGACAGGGGTGAGAGCAGAACAGGCAGAGCAGCGAAGGAGAGAGAGAGAGAGAGAAGGCAATAATTGCATAGCGAGATTGCACTCACTATCTTGTCTTTTGCCTCAAATCTCTCGACCGAGGCTTTTACTCGGGGAGTAAACAAAAAGAAAGAGGTTGGCTGGCCTGGATTCGCACAGGCAGCTTGCGCTAGCAGGCTGCTAAAAAGACCTCACGTATGACTTACGCGGAAATCCGTAAATATGGAAAATGCGTCGTCTCAGGCGTGACACTTTACCTTCACCTATCAATCAAACGGCCTAGGCAGGCTGTTTCTCCGAGCGCAAGCTCAACCAATTCTGTGAGAGGAGCTCGCGCAGCTGGCAGGGCGGCTTGACCTTGGTCAGGTGATCCGCCACCTGGCGGTCAGTTGGAGCCCAAAACACTACGCGCTTCGGGTTCTCGTCGTCGAACTCCTCGACAATGTGCGAAACCGCAGCAATGTCGATGCTCAGGCGCCTCTCGAGCGTCGTAGAGGGCGCCCCTTCCTTCGTGAGAATGTCGCACAGACTCTTATAGTCTGCGGCCACCTTGATGGGAATGAAATCGGCCGGGAGTTTACCAGAAATGCCGGGCTGGAAGCTCTCGAATAAAATATCTGCAAACAAATGACGGAGAAAAGAAGCGGCGTCAACACCTGCGTCCATCGCCATTGCCTCTGCTGCTAAAGTGCCTCTCACCACTCGTCTGATACGAGGAGACCTCCAATCAAGTAGTGATGCACAACCACCGTAGGAAGTCAAACAATCCTTATCGGCGCAAAAGACCATTTTCCTGGGTATTCGCCCATGCAGCGTCGGCAAACGTCACAAGAACAGCACGTGTAAAATCCACACCGACAATGCGTAGTCCTGCGTCCTTTGTGTCTCGAGCCACGCGGAAAATACGATTGATGGCCATGAGATTCGAGATCGTAGGGTTCGAACTTTGTCCAAGTGAAGTAGCAGCTGCGAGATCAGGTCGGGATTGCCCCACAAGCCACTGACAGGAACCAACACCACTGGAAAAAATCGTCTTCTCCTCTGTCGTCAACGTCGCGTCTGGGGTAGCCGATCTCCAACGTGGTAAGGGAGCCGGAACACACTGAGCACAAAACTCGCTCTGGTTGATGAAGATACTACCGTCTGCTTGCTTCTGCAACTGTTTGCCACACTAGGTCAACTCATTGTCCCACCATTTGCCAAACGTAAAACGCTTCCGTACTTTGTCAACTAGATCCATACCACGTACCGGATCCACACCACCAATGAGATCGTCCACATGGATACACACAATCAACACCAATCTTTTGAACTTGCAAAAAAACAAAACAGCGCCTTGTCCAGGAGAAATTGCTGACCACCAGTGCTGATCAAATAATCGCGAAGTTCACGCCACCAAAGGCGGGGACTGTTGACGAAACCGTAGATGGCGCGACGTACCAAAAGGAGAACACCTCTAGGAACTCCAAAAAGTCCTTCACCAGGTTGGCGGAGATAGATGGGCTTCTCCCTCTGGGCCTTGGTCTGGTCGGCCTGGAGGAAAGCAGTAGTGACGTCGCCACCGAAAAGGTTGAAGTTCCAGCTGGCGGTGATCTGCAGCAGGATATAGGAACCAGCTCTCGTCAGCGTCGGCGCATCGCGCCTCAGAGTCAGGATGTCTGCGTCGTTGTAGCCGATACCCACAAGACGAGCCTTCGCATCTACCTCGACAACTCCACGTCCAGCGTTCTTGTCGCGGTAGCAGACTCGAGAGGGGATGATCCTCTCGCGCTTCTCGGGGTCCATCTCGATTGCCCTAGCAGTCGTTGTGTCCAAGACCTCCACTGCCGAGAACCGTTGCCATGAAGACCACTCGCGTGCCAAGGCGTCGCGATACAATTGCTTCTGGTCGTCTGGCCCAGCCGATCGCGAACGAACGCGCGGACGTCGGGCGGCTGGTCCGTCTGCGGCCGCTGATGCAGGTACGGGTCGGACTGCCGGAAGGATGTTATCCCTCATCGGATGCTCCTCTTGTGGTTCGACAGTCGCGGCAGGCTCGGGTTGTGCCGGTACGTCTCGTAGGCCAGCGAGCGCAAGTTGCACTGGCGGCTGTACGTTTTCTCGCCCAGTCTCGGCTTCCAGGGCAGCTGCCACGTCGGAGACCACCACACTGTCGGGGCCCAACTCGCCTTCAGGTGGAGGCGCGCCTCGCTCGTCGTGAAAACGTCCAGGAGGTGCCTGAGCAGCCCTGCGCAGCTCAGCCAGGTCGGCATCGTCGGGGGCCCACATCTCGGTACCGCGGGCCTCGCGGAGCTGCTCCTTCGAGACCAGGATAGGATGGCCAGATGACTGCACCCAGACATTGTTGTCGTCCGGTCCGCCGCTGCCGCCAGGTCCGATCACCGTCGCCACGATGAACCTCGCCGGGTAGTGCTTACCCTTCTTAGTCTTGGGCAGTCGCCAGAAGGCGACGCGGTCACCGGCGGTGTAGTCGCCTCTGCAGGGCCGATTGAGCCGGAGCATCGACCTCTTGAGGGACTCGGACCTGTCGTACTCGGTGAACGCCAGATCCGCTAAAGTGAGGACCCGAGCCCTCTCGGCGAGCTCGGCGTCTCCTGTCATAGCACTGTGAACCACCGCGGAGTTGGCAGGGTCTGTAATACTGCCGGGGATCCTCGGATCCTTGCCGAAGGCACGGGGAAGCTCCACATTGGCGTACGTGGGAGTTCCTGGATTGGTTGATCGGGGCTGTCAGCATCTTCTTGTCGTCTGGGCCGATCAGCTGCATGTCGTCGATGGCCCGCTTCGCCATGTGCCTCCAGAGCGTGATGTTAGCCTCCGCGCGTCCGGACTGCCAGTGGGCCTCTGCAGGAGGCTTCTCCATAAGCACATCGCGCGCCTCCAGATGCTCAACACAAATTGACTGAAAAGCTCCATCGCGATCGCACACAACATGGTCAGGATAACCAGCCCAAGATAACCAACATGTAGCGAAAAGTCCCAGCACGAAGTTCGGATCCCCGGAGGGGCAATAGACCACGACCATCAACAGACCAGACATCTCCAATATGCTCAGGAACAGGTGCGTGGCGTTCGCCGCGCCCATCAAGCCAAAGAAATCCAAACCCACGCGCAAGTTGAATGAGCCTATGTATGGTATCTTGGCGGGCCTTGGCCGTCGTGGTTTCACGATCCTCAGACATGAGCTGCACCGAAGCCTCCGGCTAAGCTCGATCGCGATCGGACTGGCGTCGCTACTGTTCAGAAACCTCGTGAAGTCCGGCTGCAGAGGGCGACTAGGGTTCTGATGCATTCTCGTCACAATCGGAGCCACACGTTTCTCTTCGGTCGAAAGAGGCGGCCGTGCAAACCAAATCTCGTCTCCAGCGCGCCGTTGAACTGGAGGAGGTTGTAGCTCTTCAGGTACTGGTTCGTCCGGGGCTGGAGGCGGCACTCGCTGTCGCGATTCACCGCCAACAGGTGGTCGTGGAGGTGTTGGTTCACCCACCGGAGCTCGACCAATCACAAAAAGGCCGTACCTGACAGGTTGCTGAAAACGCTCACGTGGTGCATAGGCATCCGGAACGCACTCGTGTTCAATTAGAAGAGAATTGTCGTCTTGTACCAACACAGCGCACCGATGAACATCGTTTCCGAATTCAGGTCGGAGTTGTTTCGCCTTGGGTTGGAAAGCCGCCTGAATACTGAGTATCTGCCAAGGCACAAGCTCATCCACCTGCTCCCACATCTCCGAATCCTTGGCGACATTGGCTGATCCGGCGCTGCGGCGACTCATGATATCTACCACTCCGTTCATAATCACTCTCCAGCGGGGCTCTCCAAGTTGGGCGCCGCGTAGCAGACCTGATGTACATGTGGAGCCGGGGCTTGTCGTAGCTCACCGTGTAGTAGCTAGATGTGGACGCCATGGAAATACTCCTCCGTCTCGATGACTCTCGCAAGGCCGCGGCAGATCGCGTCGGCCAGCTACCAGGTGTAGACCTGCGACCGCTTGGTATTTCCTGAAGGGCCTCCACCCGATACTTCCTCGCGTGGATGGCTATGATCGCAGTGTCGCTCCAACTCCTGAGTTAGAAGCGGGTGCGTGCCCAGCCACCTGACCAACTTCTTCATCGGAGGGCCGTCCTTGCCGATCATGCCGAACATGCACATGTTAGAGGTGCACTCGTAGTTGTCCCTACGGAGTTCCATGATGACGTCCTCGCGCCACGAGTCCGCCGTTGCTGGATTCTCGAGCAGCGCGCGATTGCCGTGGTGCTTCTGCTTGTTGAAAATGTCCCTGGTGAACTGCAAGAAACACCTCTCCTCGTCACGTAACCTCTCCAGGACCTCAGTATTGTCCCGGTAGTTGATGTTCCGGTTGAGCAGCGTCCAGAGAGTACAAGGTAGCTGGATGATCACAAGCCTGGGTTTCCACTTGTCGATCGTCTCGAGTACCTGTTGCCGCTGCTTCTGTATCTTGAGGTCTTGGCCGAATAACTTGTCGACTGGCTGTAGAGCGCGCATACGCCATCCGCTTGCCTGGTCGGCGGCATGAATCGCGACGCCGCACTCACCGCCAAAGACCTCGAACAGATCGAAGCCTCGCCGGCTTCGCCTGGGGAACTTGCTGTTGTTGAGCCTCTTGTCGTACACGTCCTTCTCGAGGATGATGTTCTGGTAGGTGGTCTTGGCCATGCCAAAGTACCGCTTCGCCTGACCGGCACTCAGGCTCTCTCCGGGCCTGAATCCCTCGGCCCCCTCCTCGGCCGGCGCTCCCAGCTGGAATCCACCTCCTCGACCTTCATGTCGGAGTCCGAGCTGGGTTCGCGAGCCCTCCGGGCACTGGGGGCCCTCCGCGGGGCCTCCGAACGACCAGCCCGGGGCCAGCGACGTGAGCGCCGTACCGACGAAGAACGCGGCACGTCAGAGCTGCTTGCTGAGGTTGCCGGCGTGGTTCGTTCGATCCTGTCGCCTGGCTTCTTGCGCGCCCCGTGGTAGTTCCAGAAGATCGCCTCCGTCGTATTCCCGTGATTGACCGTGACCGGGTACTTCGCCGCCTTCCAGACCTTCCCGCAGCAGAGGCACTCCATGAACTTGCCCGCTGGCACTGTATAGACGTGCTCGCCGCTGTCAGGGTGAGTGCGTTCCTGGGAGATGTTCGGGAAGTACGCCATCCTTGTTGAAGAGCCCGACCGTGTATCCGGCAGGCTGCTGATCTCCCTGAGAGCTGGATCGGTCAGGATCTTCATCACTGGGAAGCGACGCTCGAAGACCGACTTGGCGAGCTTCTGACGCCTGCTCTTCTCGAACATGCAAGCGACCACCACCATCGCTTGGAGGATCACAGACCATTGCAACCAAATGCCCTCCGGCCTTGGCTTGGAGCGCCGGGGCATCCGGGGTCGGATACGCAGTGGGCGAAAGCGTCGCCGACGCAAAAGCTGAAGACGCTGAGGTCGAGGCTTGGCTTGGGGCACAAATAGCTCTGGTGTCTGTATGATATCTGGCCTCGGATGAGAACGGGATGTTACGATGAATTTCGGCGTGACTGTTCCTTTCGTCCTCGTCTCCGTTTTCATATTCAAATGCTTGCCGAGACGTCCCCTGTTGCCAATTCTGATGATCGCACTGCTGATAACACTTGTTTACCTCGTCCGTTTTGCGATTTTTCAGCTCCTGATTGAACGCGCAGGCTTGCTCGTTTTGCTGCTGATGACCTTTAGGCTGATATAGATTACCGCATCGAAGCTGATGATATGGTGCATGCTGATGCTGCTGATGACGCCAGCGTCGTTCTTGGTAAACGCTCGCTTCTGGCCGATAAAGCCCGCGATGAAGTAGATCCTGTTGTCGACCATCATGATAATGAACACCCTGATGAACCGACGATAGCGAGGGAGATTCTTCCTTTTTCGCCAAGGCCCCTACGCAGACTGCAACTGTATACGTGTCGAGCGAAAAACCTCAAGATTCTGGAAAACCTGCAATCGGCCACTCGTCGATCCGAACAGCGAGGTGCCCACTCTGGGACTCCACCAACTGTACGTTCGGAAGGTCGATAGCCAGGAAGTGGGCCTGAGCGCTGGCCAAATCAATCATGCAACCGAGATCCGCCATCAAGTCTCTGCCGCCTTAGAAAGGTAGGCGCGCCGAATTGGAGTCATATATCGTCGAGGTGTGCAAAATCATCGCACGCTCGTGGACCCCGCCGGCAGAGTCCACCTCTCGGCACTGGTCTGGGGCGTGCCCGGACCGAAACGGCACTGCTCATGCTCTGGCTGAACACAAACTTGCAGATCAATAGGGCCCAGGAAACGCTTCGCAAAGATACGCGGGCCGTGTAGACCAGCAACTGTAGTCTGACAAGCCGTATCCAGCACAAGCAAACTCGCGTCATTCTCAATATGTTCCGCTGTTAGCACATTGTTAGCCATCACCATTATGTAAACGGACCGCTCCTTGTGGAAACTCTTCACTTTGTGGTTCGGCTTCTGTCCGTTGCTTCCGTAGGTCATCGTGATATTCCGCGTATGATTGGGCTCACCTGCTGGACCTCGGCTCTCACGCTGATCGCATACGCGTACAGCTTGATCGAAAATCTATTAATCAACGTGAGGCTTCTGGGTCCCAAGAGTCGAATGAATACTGCTCGTAGCCGCATTCACCTGATGAACGTGCTCTGATAGGGGCCAGAAATTATTATATTTCACTGGTCGGCCTGTAGACTTGATTCACTGGCCCTCATGCCCACATGATCGCTGATCGCGAGGAGGCCGACATCTTCGCGACGCGACGCTACTTGTGCGAATCGACAGAGCTTGCGATTTGAAGGAGCGCCCAGCACTGCGTCGCACGACAATTGGACACCATGTCCCGCCGCCTGCAGGAAACCCTTCAGGCGCCAATGGCGCTCACTGGGCGGCGGGGGATCGCGGGGGGGTTCACGTCGGCCTGAACGCGCCGAGAAACGACCCTGGGCGTCTGGCGAAACCCAGATCCCCAATCCGTCGCCGGGACGTCTCCACGAGCTTCCACATCGACGCAAGTGGGCCCAATAGCTCCACGGTGGCCTCGGGAGAGCCAGTAGGAGAACCCGAGGAAGAGCGCGACATGCCCCGAGAGAGGCCCGATACGCCCTAGAGCGAGCCCCCCGCAGGAGCACGCAAGGAACCACTCGCATCCGCCCCAGACAAGGACGCCACCCAGACCCGCGACCGGTGAAATGAAAGATTTCGCGGTTTCGGCCCGCCCAAACAACAAAATCTTCCATTTCACCGATCTGGCCTGGCGGGGGTTCCAGGGGCGGACGCCGCGCGCGCCCTGAGGCGGCGGGCCGATCGACGCAGGGCCGCGTCCTCGCTTGAGCGCGCGCACCGATCTGCGGCGCGGCGCGCGCATTCCCGCGCCTGAGGCCTGCGGAGATTAACGGTGCACATATTCGCTTGGTCATGAAGATTCCCGTCGACATTGCCGGGCAGCCTTGAAATGCGCGCTGATCGAACGGGATCAAGCCGCGGCTATATAGGCACATGCGGCCCCAATGTCTGTTCGGGGGCCGCTCAAACCAACCGAGCGGCCGATGCATCGCGCATCGCGTCGCTTTCCATCAATAAACGAAAATGCATCTACAGCGCGCGCGTCGTTCTCGCGGAGCCCAGCAGCATCTTGCGATGGCCGCGCTCGCTTGGTTTACGCGTTCCCAGGAGGCAGCAGGCAGCGAAACGAAGAGCGCGCCGCGTAATCATTCAATTCAGCGTCTGCGATCAAAAACCCCAAAAAAAACAATGACTGATAAATACTTCTGGCCCCGATCTGACTCTGCAACCGTCGGTAATCTGGTAGCCGCGTAGCCTGTCGATGCCGATGACGCCGCGCCTGATCCAGGTCGGGGCTCCGGCTGCAACATGGCCGCGCCCTCCTGGGGGCCATTGCCGGTCGGCCACCACGCATCTGAAGAATGCGAGGCCTCATGAGCCGCTCGGGCCGAGGAAGCCGGTCGCTCGGCGGGCGCCGTACACTGGCGATCGCCGGCCCAGTGGCCCATTTCGCCGCGCGCCGAGCAGTTGGTCACCCTCTCGAAGTCGTCCAGGGACATGCCACGGCGAGCCTGGCCCTTAGAGCTGTCGCGGCCCTTGCCTTTGCCCTTGCCAGAGGCACTGAACATGAAGCCCTTGCCGGACTTGCCCTTGCCTGAAGCTTTGCCCGAGCCCTTGGCGTTGTAGTAGCCGCGGGCCCGGTTCGCCTGATTCAAGCGATCGTGGGCCTGCTTGAACGTCACGTACGCCGCGTGAATATTCCGGGCCAGCGCCTCCGGGAGATGCTCGGACCAATAATCGTCGTTGTAGTCCTCCTCGTTCCAGCCGTCCCCTCCCGGGCACGGCCAGTCCTGGTAGTCGTCGTCGTGCCAGGGTTCAGGAGGTAGTTGATGGTCTTCTTGTGGCCAATCGTCTTCCCGCTGGCCATCTGTACTCGTCATGTGGACATTGTGGTACTGAGGCTTGAACTTCTTGTCGCCCTGGTACTTGTTACGCGGGACCAAGGGTAATGGGAACAGCGTCGCAGCCTGCTCCTTGATGGGCCTTCACTGGTAGGTCGAGCCAGCCGCCATCAAGAGAGTAGCTTGTGCCTTCACGTCCAGCTGCGAGCTCTTCATAAACTGCCGAATGATAATAGGGTCAGGAATCTCCAACTCGACCGATCGTGCCTGCAGCACTGCCTTGTCCACTCGGGTTGCCAACTGAAGCAGAGTCTCTCAGGGCTTAATATGTTCCATATGAAAGAAATCGTCCATAGCCGTTCCGATCTTCACCGTGGGGCGTTGATCGAAATACGCCAACTTCTGGAGCAGGATGTCCACGCCGTCCTTCACTGCAAAGGTCGACGGGCTCTCATCCTCGACATGGTCGAAGGCTTTGTCCTTCAGCGCACCGAAGAGGCGGGGGCCCATCTCCTCTGGCTCGATAATGTTCTTGGCGATCAGCACCCAGTTCTCGACCTGTGCCTTGTACCGCCTGTACACCTTGGGGTCCTCCACATCGCCGTTGAACTCCGGCGGTGGCGGCAGGTTGCCACCAGGCCTATTCCGGGGGTCGTCGCCCTTGCCGATCCCCTTCGCCGCCGCCTGTGTCGGTGACAATGTTCCAGGTGGTCGGCTTCCGGGCGGGCTGCCAGGGGACGAAAACTCTTCCTCATCAGTATCTCGTCGCCCTCTGGGGCCTGGCGGGCTCCCACGTCCAGACATGGCGCTTGTCCGAAAGAAAGTCGCTGTACGCTACCAATTCGATAAGATGAAATCAATAAACGTGTTTATTGAGCAGTGTAGTGGAGCGGGGAATGTGATATCCTTTTCATCTCTCGCCGGATGCACACGGCGGTGGCTTCTCGTGCCACAAGCTCAAGGGCCCTCCGGGGCCAAAACAGCGTCGGAGGACAGGGGTGAGAGCAGAACAGGCAGAGCAGCGAAGGAGTGAGAGAGAGAGGAGGCAATAATTACATGGCGAGATTGCACTCGTCACCATCCTCCTCATCATCATCTCCACCTCTCGTCCTTATCCTCCTCATCCTCCTCCTCCTCATCATCATAGTCCTCATCACCGTCATCATCAGCAGCAGCATCCTCACCAACTCCATCGTCATCATCATCACCATCACCATCACCACCATCATCATCATCATCATCATCATCATCATCATCATCATCATCATCATCATCACCATCACCATCACCATCACCATCATCATCAGCATCAGCATCATAATCATCATCATCGTCAACATCAGCATCAGCATCATAATCATCATCATCATCATCATCATCATCATCATCATCATCATCATCATCATCATCATCATCATCGTCACCATCATCAGCAGCATCATCCCTACCACACACCCTCACTCAAAGGCGCCGAGGCGGCAACGACGCGGACGCTGGACTGCACTGCGATTGCCGGCTCAAGCCGCATCAAGCCAGCATCGAGCGCAGAAATGGTCCAAGAAAAAAAACGTAGCCGCTCTGGGCGGCTGTCGACGCTATCCTCATCTACCTCCTCTCTCCTCCCCCTCCCTCTACCCCTCTCCTCTCTCCTCCCCCTCCCTCTACCCCTCCTCCTCATCCTCTGCATCAGCAGAAACATCAACGTCAACATCAACATCGTCGTCGTCATCAGCAGCAACCTCCACGTCGTCGTCGTCGCCATCATCATCTGCAGCAGCAGGGTCAGCAGCAGTATCATCATCCCCCTCCCTTCCATACTCCTCATCCCCACGAGCACCACCAGAACCCAGACGTGCGACGTCCTGATTGACGGCGTCTCCGGAAGTCCCTACCCTTTCCCCGGGGCCGGCGTTTCTTTGGAGTCCCGAAACGGTGCGGTGACAGACCGTGCGGTGACCTCGAAATCCCCCAAGACCTCACCGCACGGTCCGTCACCGCACGGTCTTGGGACCCTGGAGGTCCCTGTCGCCCGAGACGTCCTCGGCGCAGGACTCGAGTCCCAAAACCGTGCGGTGACCCCGAATCCCCACCGACTCACCGCACGGTGTGGCCACCACACCGTTTGGGGGCCACCGAGTTTCATCCTGAGTCGTTTTGTTGACGGTCCCAGGACCCGGCGAGGGCCTCCAGAGGCCGAGAACGGAGGTTGTGGGGGGGGAGAGGGGGGAACCAACATCTGACTCAACGGGACACCACGGGACACTTGTCGATCTCACTATCGATCTCACTATCGATCTCACTCAACGGGACACCACGGGACACTACGGGCCACCACCGGCCATCACGGGACGCCACGGGACACCGCGGGACACCTCTCGATCTCTCTATCGGTCTCACTATCGATCTCACGATCGATCTCACTCAGCGGGGCACCATAGGACACCACAAGACAACGCGGGACACCACATCGATCTCACTATCGATCTCACTATCGATCTCACTATCGATCTCACTATCGATCTCACTCATCGGGACACCACGGGACTCCTGTCGATCTCACTATCGATCTCACTATCGATCTCACTTTTTGGGACACCACGGGAAACCACGGGACACCTCGGGGCACCACATCGATCTCAGTATCGATCTCATTATCGATCTCACCCAACGGGACACCACGGGACACCACGGGACACCATCAGGGCCACCGCCGGACGGACGGACGAAGGAGAAATATTTGTCTTGACTTCGCCCTAGCAACGGCGGATTCATTCCTCTCGCGCGCGTACGCAGCTTCGCCTCGCCCGCACGCACGACACGAACGAAATGAAACGATTTCCCGGTTGGGGGTCTCCGTTCCACTGCAATCTCACCCCCCCAACCTCCGATTTTCCTGGGGATCGGCGACTAATTGTGTCTGTGTTTTTCCCCTCCTGAACATGGTCGTCAGGACTGGGAAGGTGTACCAGGCGAGCGTCCTGCAGGTTCTCTTGAGAACTCGTGCTGACGTCCTTGTCAGCCCGTTCCTGGGTCTCGTTGTCGGCTTCTTCGAACTGTGCTCCGAGAAGGCTTTCCTTGGCCTCTTCCTGGGCTTTGTGGACGTCACTTTCTAGCTGGGTTTGTTCGGCCTCATTTGTGAACTACCCTGGCCTATCGGGCCCGTTTGTTCGGGAATTCCAGGGAAAATGAAGTATACTGCCCCACGATGGATGCAGGGGGCTGCTATCCCAATGACGCCGCCTCGGAAATACCCTGCCTTACCACCACCCCGTTTCTTCGCACTCAAGGGAAGAGAACGCGGCAGGTAAGGGCTTTCATGATGCAATGGGACCTCAAAATCCTCATGCTGCTCGTCGAAGGGGTCATGAAGTACGGAGTCATCGCAGTGCGCGGCCTGCTGGCGCAATGCACGCACATTACAACTCTTGCCCTCATTCTCGTGAATACGGGGCGTAGTCGTCGGCTTCCTGCTCGTCGGACGGCTGTTCACCGAATTAGCCGTGAGGTGCCTGGGCTTCTTCGTGCCGGTGTGGGCATGCGCATGACCTCTGGGCAGTACTGGCGCGAGTGCTGCCAGACGTGGTCGTCACCACGCTTCTCACGCCTGGGCGGCACGTCGTGTTCCTCACCTCGTCGTTCGCCGCGGGGGCCGTGAGGTACGGGGTCAGCGTTGGGCTCCCACGTAACCGCGGAGCGCGTGACGGTCGGCCTTCTTTCCGTCTAGCTGCCCTTCGCGCGGGTCGCGAGGCGATGGGCCGTCTCCGTCTCGGGCGCGGCCGCGCATGCGCTCCTGCCGAGGAGCATGAAGACGAGAACGCTGTCGCGACATGTGTTTTTCCCCCCTGCGGGCTTCAAGCATCTCATCTTTCCCCACGCTGGGGGTCTGGCAGAGAGCCTGGACATGGCGCTTCCATGCTCCAGGAAATAACTCCTCACAAGGGGGGCGCCCCCCTGGGCATGAGCAGGTGGGCATCACCTTCCATTCGGACGAGGGATGCACGACACCCCGAGAGAAAACCCCCTCCGGCCAACAGGGCTGTCGAAGCCACAGCGCGCTGGGGAGGTGTCTGCCAAGACTAGTCAGAGTGGTCCGCTGGCGCGACTGTGGCATCCAAGGAGACGGAGGCTGAGGGCGGCGATAGCACAGTCGAGATCTTCGACGCGGGCCTGCTGGCCCTGGCGTCCCTCGCGGGAGGGCACCGCTGCTGCACGGACTGCCGCCGAGGCAGGGGAGGCCTGCCACTCCTGCCGCCTGATCATGTGCCCAGCTGTGCACAGCGCGCTGCCGCCAGTCCTCCTCCTCCTCCTCCTCCTCCTCCTCCTCCTCCTCCTCCTCCTCCTCACCACCACCACCACCACCACCACCACCACCATCATCGTCGTCATCATCATCATCATCATCATCATCATCATCATCATCATCATCATCATCATCATCATCATCATCATCATCATCATCATCATCATCATCATCATCATCATCATCATCATCATCATCATCATCATCATCATCATCATCATCATCATCATCATCATCATCATCATCATCATCATTCATCATCCATCACACCATCGCTCTCATCTCCAACCATCACCATCACCATCATCATCATCACATCATCATCATCATCATCAGCAGCAGCAGCAGCAGCAGCAGCATCATCAGCATCATCATCATCAGCATCATCATCAGCATCATCAGCATCATCAGCATCATCATCATCACTACCACCATCATCATCATCATCAGCAGCATCAGCATCAGCATCATCATCATCATCATCAGCATCATCATCATCATCATCATCATCCTCCTCCTCCTCCTCATCATCACCACCACCACCACCACCATCGTCATCATCATCATCATCATAATCAGCACCATCATCATCAGCAGCATCATCATCACCACTATCACACTCACCATCATCATCATCACCACCACCATCGTCATCATCACCACCACCACCATCATCATCATCAGCAGCCGCATCATTATCATCATCATCATCACCACTACCACCACTACCACCAATATCATCCTCCTCATCATCATCATTATCCTCATCATCATCATCATCATCATCAGCATCATCATCCTCATCCTCATCCTCATCCTCATCATCCTCATCATCGTCATCATCAGCATCATCATCATCATCATGACCACCACCACCACCACCACCACCACCACCATCATCATCATCATCACCATCACCATCACCATCACCATCACCATCATCATCATCATCATCATCATCATCATCAGCAGCAACAGCATCAGCATCAGCATCATCATCAGCAGCAACAGCATCAGCATCAGCATCATCATCAGCATCATCATCAGCATCATCAGCATCATCAGCATCATCATCACCATCATCATCATCATCATCATCATCATCATCACCACCACCACCACCACCATCGTCATCATCATCATCATCATCATCATCATAATCAGCAGCAGCATCATCATCAGCAGCATCATCATCACCACTATCACACTCACCATCATCATCATCACCACCACCATCGTCATCATCACCACCACCACCATCATCATAATCAGCAGCCGCATCATCATCATCATCACCACTACCACCACTACCACCCAATATCATCCTCCTCATCATCATCATTATCCTCATCATCATCATCATCAGCATCATCATCCTCATCCTCATCCTCATCATCCTCATCATCGTCATCATCAGCATCAGCATCATCAGCATCATCATCATCATCATCATCATCATCATCATCATCCGTACCATCGCCACTCCTGCCACCATCACCATCGTCGTTACCACCATCATCAGCATCATCACGTCAACCGCGCCGAGCTCCTGGCGCTGGCGCGGCACATCGTGGACTGCGGCGCGGAGGGGCGCGAGCTGCACCGCATCACCGACTCGATTTGCATGGTGCGAGGCTGGCGGCTCTGGGGCAGGGCGCCGCGACGCCATCGAGACCCGTGGACACGGCCAGGGGCGCTGCTGGAGGAGCGGCGCTGCGAGCAGGGCACGCGACAGAGGCTTCCTCTCGCTGCACGTGCGCCTCAGTGCGGCAGCCCGTACGCTTGCCGAGCCTGCTGCGACCAAGGTGATGCTGACAGAGTGCTGGAGTTCATGTTTGTGCTATTTTTATCTGTTCACCAGACAGGAAGGTGTTTTTTTTTCAAAAACGATTGATCTGTTGTGCAAAGATTGTTTGAAATATCAACGTTGCAAAACGAGGTGCAGGCGGTCTGGGATGTGGGCGCACTGGCCACGTGCGTCCGGCAGCGGCTGGCGCCCTTCCTTGGGGACGTGGGCGAGGAGCGCCCGTAGGCGCTGCGGCCGAGGGGCGGTGCTGCTCGCAAGCGGCCGCGGGCCCCCACACCGTACGAGGCTGCGCTGCGAGAGACGAATCGCCCGGTGACCGTCGTCGTCGGCGCCCGCAGCGCGGCGGCGCGCCTCGGCTGCTGGGACTGCGAGCGGCATGCGGCGGCCGCCTGCTGTGCCAGTTCGGGGCCCCAAGACTGTG